TAATTTGTGCAGTGCATCCATGGAGAATAAACTAATTTGGACATTAATTAGTTATCCATCTGTTTATAATTCTGTTTTACACTAATATAATCTAAGTGCTTATATTCTTAAGCTGAACTACTGCTGCTGTTCTGTTCCTATATTGCTCATATTGTATATGATTTTCCTGTCCATTCTCTCAAAAGTTCACAATGGTGATGGGTAGCCCTGTGTCAACCTATATATAACCCTCCCAACCTAAAACCAAGGGCAAGACTTGACTACTAAAACCTTACAGTCACCAGCTAAACTAATTGGCATCTTAGGGTTTCTTTACTTTCTATGTCTACTACTTTGCCACATTAGAAACAACAACTTGTATACCACAAAACTAAACACACTCATGTAAATGTTGATATTTGGTTTTGTTGAATATCTTGATAGACATTGTTGGACTTATTTCCTAACAGCTTAAGCTTTCAAGACAATTGGTGACTTTACATAGTATAAAAACTCAGGTTGGGGGAGGTTTGTGGGTTCAAGGCTCTCCATTTGCATTTGGTTTTCATTTGCATTCTTTCTTCCCTTTATATGACTACAACATCTACTTTGCCACATTAGAAACAACGACTTGTATACCACAAAACTAAACACACTCATGTAAATGTTGATATTTGGTTTTGTTGAATATCTTGATAGACGTTGTTGGACTTATTTCCTAACAGCTTAAGCTTTCAAGACAATTGGTGACTTTACATAGTATAAAAACTCAGGTTGGGGGAGGTTTGTGGGTTCAAGGCTCTCCATTTGCATTTGGTTTTCATTTGCATTCTTTCTTCCCTTTATATGACTACAACATATGTGGGCAAAAGTGAAACTTCTGTTGCAAAAAACATTAGGAGACCATTTTTGGGACACTTTTCAATATTGCACGAGTTGACCTAGCTTGACCCTAGATTAGTTTACATGTTGAACTTTAGTGTAAAATTGGCAAAAATGACCAAGGTAAACATTGGCCACTTTTGAGACACATTGTTTTTATCATATTTCTGAAAAAGTCATTGAAACCCATGCTTATCAATTTTTGGACTTGATCTTCATTCATTATACATCTTATTAAAAATTACTACACTGAATTTTTGGCACAATAATCCATGCACACGCTTGCTTGACATTTTCACCCTTGGCAATTTGTGTAATGGTGCCAAAAGGAATGAAGATCATGGCAAGGAGTTCCATGGAGCTATCAGATCAAGAGTGTATAAGGAGTTTAGAGCCATGAAAGTGAGGAGATTCGAGAAAAACTGCAAGATAGGGGGGGTTCTTTGGTTTTGAATCTTCTAAACTTTTTTTTATTGATTGTGGATTTGTTTTCTGTTGGGTGTGACCGTGGTTTTTACTTTTTCTCTTGTGCACGAGGAAGGTTTTCCACGTAAATGGTTGTTTGCCTACTATATCTTTGCTATTTATGTCGTGGTTGCCATTGATTTGGCATAATTTGAAATTGGTACTTGTTGGTTATTCACTGAATGTTGAATATAATTCTTAGTAGTTAAAATTTCTTCTAAGAGTTTGGCCTATTCACAGTCTCTAGGCACAAACTACTTGTCTCCGCAATTTCATAAAATTTAGTCGACTTCAAGGTGACATGTTATTAATGGCGGCTCTTAGAAAGTAGATAAAGTTTGTTTTATGTCATGCTTGTAGCCTTGTGCGGATTAACTCTTGATTTGATTGAGCAGCTTAACATGAGGGACGGTGATCAAATTGATGCCATGATGCACCAAGATGGAGGTGGGCTGTAAGGCAAATGACTGCGTCCCAAAAGGAATCTACATAGCAATTTAAAACAAAAATAAAACCCTTGCAGATATATACTTTATTGGATCTGTGTAATGCAAAGGCGAGAGAAAAAGCATGGAAAGATTGTAATGTTAGCTTCCATTTAAACGATTAACTTTTCTATTTGGTGTTCCTTTCTGGTTGATATGAATATGATACAAACTTTGGATATTGTTCTTCACATGTCTTCTATTTACTTTTTTTTTGTTTGGTTCATGTTAGAATTCATTTGATCATTGCATGGTAGAGAATCTATTTGTTTACGGAAGCATTAGAAATTGGATCAGAGAAAAAAGAAGAAGTAAGCACTAGAAAAGTGGTATTCTCTCTGTTAAATCATTTCTGCAATTTCATTGAATAACATGATTCCAATTTTGTAAATATATGTTCTTGAATTTGTGCTTTTTATAAGCTATATCAAGAACAATTTGAAATGTTTTCTATTCCATGGCTTTCTTGTGGAAGGATGGGTGAAAATATTTTCATATTTTGCTCAAGCTTTATGTTATCATTTCATTGATTTAATGGGATAACGATCATTGAATTTTAACTGTTGTTAATCATGCCACCTAATGGAGAGGGAGATTTTATAGGTGATTTTGGGAGCAAATATGGTTGTATATCTACAATATATCTACTCAATTGTGAAATTTGGTTATTTTTTCTCTGTAATAATCTTCTTGTAATTTTCATTATAACAACACAAGTCAGAGAAAGATAATCCAACAATTTACGTTTAAAAGTAAATTAAATTATTATTAAAACAATGCCTTTTTATTTTATTTTAATGAAAAAAAAAACAAGGAACTTAGCATTGTAGAAAGGAAAAGAGAACAAAAAATGTGAAAGTAAAAGAAAGATGAAAGACTTCCAAGTCTCTCACAAAATGATACCTTTCATTTCTTCATCTTTTGTTTGTTTATGGACTATAACTTTCACTAAGAAATGGGGTAATCAAAATCAGGGGTAGTGTCTCTGTCATGTGTGTGTGTGTGTGTTTTTTTTTTCAAACACTTCTTTTGTAAAATAATGAAAATAGAAGAGACACAGAAGAGATTGACAAACTCATGGGTTTCACATTTTATATCAGTTACACACAGGTAGATGTTAGGGATTATAAAAAATAGCACCATATTTTCCAAAATAGAAAAAAGAGAGATGATTTTTACAAATTATGACCTCCCAAATAATCAAGAAACAAAACATCCATAACTTAATTGACAACCCTTTTCTGTGAAAAAAAAAATATAAATTTAACAAACAAACGTGATGTTAATCAAAGTCTTAATAAATAGTTAGTAAGCATAGAAAAGATTATTTTCACTTTGATCTCTTAAATTATCACTAATTTTTTTGGTTTCATATCAAAATTGTCAAATTTATCTACTTAGTGATAGTTATTTATTTTAGTTCATGTAGTCCAATTGAAAAAAGATTGTATGAAACTTAATTTGATGGTTAAAAGATTATTTCAAAAATTGAACAATTTAATTATATAAGCAAGTATTTATCAAATTAGATATGAGGTTGTAGTTTGTTCAAAATAATAAAAAACATAATTTCTAAAATCCTTTCATATGGCATCAAATATATGTATACCTTAAGGGTAATGATTGAGACCCCCTCCAATCACCCTCCCTCCTTATAAGCAAGTATTTATCAAATTAGATGTGAGGTTGTAGTTTGTTCAAAATAATAAAAAACATAATTTCTAAAATCCTTTCATATGGCATCAAATATATGTATACCTTAAGGGTAATGATTGAGACCCCCTCCAATCACCCTCCCTCCTCCCCCCCCCAACAGACACATGGCGGGTGGTGATTGAAGGAGAAGGAATAAAAAAAAAAAGAAAAAGAAAAAGTAGCCAATCAGGTGAAGAGGAGGTCAATGGGGTGGGAAAAAAAGGGGGTCCAAGTCATTATCGATACTTTAATATATTTGTAATAACATTCCAATGCACATTTTTGTCATTACCATTTTTTGTTTTAACAGCAAAAAATAATTTGAAATATATATATATATATATATTAGCGTATGCCCGTGCTTGAAGGCACAGTGTAAATAATGTTATGATTAGAATATAATTGTAATCACAACACTATTTAAATTTTTTTTTAATTTGATAAAATCACAAATTTATTATAAAATTTTGGATTTCTCACAAAACTCCTCACGAAAACTCGCTTTTGCTTATATAATATATAGATAGATGTGCCTAGTATACATACAATTTTCACGGGCATATATATAATATTGCTTTTTCTTATATAATTATATGAAAATTATATGTATGCTTGTAATGTCCTAGTGTATTGCAGGTATACATATATTGTATGGAAATATGTGTAAAATATATTGAACAAAAATGAGAAAAAAAAAAACAAATAGAGATAAAAATAAAAAAAAGAGAAAATAAAAAAATAAAAAGAAAAGAGGGGGAAAGGTGGGATCATGGGATCATAGAAGGATGAGTAATAAAAGGAAAAAGTAAGAGAGAGAAGTGGGAAAGTAGAAATTTATATATAAGACATTTTTTGAAAAATATATCTCAACCATTATTTTATAATTTGAACAAATATGAACTATCCAAATGTCCTAGTAGAATAAAAATATGTTAAAGATTCAAAAATTGTCTTGCTTTATTAAAATGTGTTGAAGATTTATATGAGATCTAAATTTATGAAGTCTATCAGGTATTTAATATATTTAAAAATAATAATTAATTGTTAATTTGTAGATTATAAAATTTATTAATTTAATTTCCACTACACAGTAAAATCTGGCCCCTAATTCTAGAATTGTAGACTTTTCCATATAATATGAATAAGAATAAGTGAACAAAAAATAAAAAAATAATAAAAAAATAAACAAATAGAGAGAAAAATAAAAATGAGAGAAAATAAAAAGAAAAGAGAGAGAAAGGTCGAATCATGAGATTATGGAAGGATGTGTGAGAAAAGAAAAAAGTAAGAGAGAGAAGCGGGAAAATAGAAACTATACCTGTAGGATATTTTTTGAAAAACATATCTTAGCTATTGTTTTATAATTTGAATAGATCTGAACCATCCAAATATCCTAATAAGACAAAATATATTAAAGATTCAAAAACCGTCCTGCATTATAGCTATCTATATATATATATATATGGAGGGAAAAGGGTAGAAAAGAAAAAGAAAAGAAAAAAAGCAAAAGAAAGACCCCAACAAGGTGATACCTTTCCTCCATCCAGCTCTCAAATTGCTGTTTCTTCATCAATAAAAGTACATCAATGCATTGCTGTTTGTAAATGGACTTCTTCATATCCTGCATTTGCTAGCACCCGGAGTGATCAAAATCAGAGCAGACTGTGTTGTTACTCATCTTCATCATGTCAGAGGTAGGTATTCTTCATCAATTTAGAACAACATTAATTTATAAATCTGTGTTTTTTCTTCCACACTTCTTTCAGAGGTGCTTGGGTTACCTCATGATTGCATTGTTAATCCCTCTTTTTGGATTTCCCTTGATTTTCTGATTCTATGTCTGCCTGTTGTGCTTGTAGTTGAATTGGGTTTTTTTGTTATGTGGTAGTTTATACAAGCCAATTAGAGATTACCCACTTTTTGTTTTGGGAATGTTCTTTATTTGTTTTTGGTTTTGTGTGATCTAACTTTTTCACTGTATAGTTTGATTTCTCTTTTAATCGTAATTTAAACTCAGAAATTAGCCCTTCCAATCTTTCCACACATACAAAAATATTGTAAAATGGGCTTTCTTCGACTCACTTTGTAGTTCTGTTATCTATGAAGTTGTGTTTTTCAAGACCTCATGATATAACCCTTGCCATAATTTTTTCATCTCTCTCTATATTTTGAGAAATATAATATTTATACTTACCCTTTATTTGACATTGATGTAGATAGAAGGAGGGAAATGGGAGGATTTGAATATGGATTGCTTGGTGAATGTGTTTGGGAAGGAGGGAAATGGGAGGATTTGAATATGGATTGCTTGGTGAATGTGTTTGGGAGAGTTGGAATTGAGTCACTGCTATTGGATGTTCCCTTCATGTGCAAGTCATGGTACAAAGCCATGCTCAGTCCTCTGTGCTGGCGCCTACTTGATTTTTCTAAAATCTCACTTGATTCATGGTCTTATGATGAATCCATATCAAGATTGCTAAATAAATATCAATTATATGATAAATTGTCTGTCACTGCATTCATCAAGTTTGTAGTTAAGCGTAGTGCTAGATCTGCCACTTTTCTGTCGCTTTCGGACTGTTGCACAGAGGAAGCATTGCTTTATGTTGCAGATGAGTAAGTTCTACAAACTAACAAGTAACTACATTAAGTTGATTTTATTACATTAAAAAAATAAAAGAGCACCTTTTTGTTCTATGTTTTGATTTATTGACAATATGCCACTGTGGCTCTTTTTGTCTATATCCCAAACTCGAAAGGTAAAAACTCAGCAAATGAAATTGCATGAATTGGCTGAAGGGACAGCTAAAATGGGAGTAGGATCCTCTGCAGTGGTGGTTTAAGAGCCAAAAAATAAGATCATTGAGTGGTTTAAGGGTGGTTTTACCTTGCAATTGTTTTTGGCTCTTAACCCATCATTGCAAGATTATTGCAAAGGTGGATTATTGTAGTGGATCCTAGTCCGTTAAATGACTCTGATTTAAAATTACTTTCTAGTTTCATCGGAAGATGAGGGATTACTTTGTATTAATCTTTTTTGGTAACCTTTGCTCTGTTTTTTATTCACCATGTGTCCTGACTTGAGGGCTTTGCAGCTGCCTCAGGATCTACCTGATGATCATATGTTATAGATACCAATACTTATCAGCAAGTGGAAAAATTTGGAGATTTTAAGGCTTGGAGGCACCTTTCAAATGCAAGAAGTCCTTGCCCAAATCAACATTCACTGCAAGAACTTTATTGGATTGGCTATTGCAAGAACCCACGTTGAGCAAGATGAAACATCAGCTATTGTCACCCTACTCCCAAACATAAAGCAATTGTTTCATCTTGCTTAGTGATGAATTTTTCAAACTTACAATTAATGATTGGCTTAGTGATGATTTTGCAGGGCTGCAAAGAACTTGAGTATTTTGATGTTAGGCACTGCATAGGTTTCAACGAGGGTGATGATGAGATATTGAAGCTTGCTTCTCACATCCAAACATTCAAGGATGAGGGTTCGATGTTGTATGATTATGATGATGACTACTGCCCTACGTATCGTGTAGACGGCTTCCATGATGGAGACTTCTCTGACTAAAGTGTATTGTATAATGTGTTTGCTTGGGATTGTCAACCTAGACTCAGATTTAGAAACTCTCCATTGTGTTGTCTGTAATGGATTGTTATGTAATGGAAATATCTAGGCACTAGCTTGTGCCGCTCTTGAATTGCTTGATTTTACTTTTGGCTTTTGTTTTCAACTGCGTCGTTTAATAGCTAACAAATACTTTGTTGATTTGCTTGTCAAACAACCTGAAATAAATTGGTACTCACTTGTCTAATGCTGTAGCTGGGTTGGTTTGTGTAAAGCTTATATCAATTTTCTTAATGGATTCAAATTGTTTCCCACTTTGAAAACTCAACGAAAGAAGAATTCATCCATCTCTGGGCACGCCCCTATGCATTCTTGACTTGGAGGTGCGATGTCAGGCATGACTTTTTTAAGTAGCTGCTACTAGGAATGATGAAATTAAAATTAATTTGGTTTAGAAATCTTGACAATTGAAATTTGTAGTATATCCCCAATTTTTTTTCCACTTATTAGATGAACATTGTATATCTTTCTCATAGGTTGAGAGATTTTTTTTTTTTTTGGGACATAATTTCCATTACAATTGTTTTTAGTAGCCTTTATCAAAATTAGTTTAATTGGCACCAAATTCAAGCGCATGAATTAAACTCATATTCAAATCTTCTTCAATTCTGTTATTGTTGACTGATAAAGAGGTAATTAATCATTTTACAGAGATTTACATGTAAGTCATAATGAATTGACTTATTGTTCAATAGGTTCTATGATAATTAATGATATTTTTTTTATCAAATATTATTAAAAAAAGTCACTAATTGTTAATTTTCAATGACAGGTTGAAAATTGACACAAAAAATGTCACTAATTATAAGTTTTAGTGACAATTTAAAAAAACCGTCACAAAAAAATCGTTAATTTTCAATTTTTAACGATAGTTTGAAAAATTCGTCACAGAAAAACGTCATTAATTGTAAGTTTTAACGACATTTTATAAAAACAGTAACAAAAAAGTCACAAATTATCAATTTTTAATGACATGCAAAAAATGTCAAAAAAAATTATTTTTAGCGACGATTTTATTATGACTTATTTTCAATCGGACTTGATGACTATTAAATCTAACTATTAGGACCTATTGGTAGTTTACCTTTATTTTCCAGACTTTTCAACTTTCAGATAATACTTGACGCAGCGGAATACACAGGGACTAGATATTGTTCTAGTAGACGAAAGAGGCTCTCGAATCCATGAGAAAAAATAGAACCATGAATCCACAAGGAATAGAAAATATCTTAATATTGAATGAAAAAATTCTCTTTGCCATGAGGCTTACATAGTTATTTATAATAAACCAAACCTAATACTTGTAGGAAAAATAATTCTAAAATAAACTAGAAAACTTAAATCAATACAAATTAGAAAACCTGGGACACTAAAATTCTAAACTATTCAAAATCCTAGTCAAAATCTAAGGTCACCTTTAAAGCCCCGTCCTCGATGCCAAGCATCTCGAACGTCTTCTCCATCTATTCCAACCACTCGTTAGCCTTAAGTGGCTCCTTCGGATCCCCAACAAACTCGTCCGGATTGGACCGGAAGAATTCCCTCTTCAAGAAGGAAGGCCCTGCCTCAACAACCTGGGCCTGAACTGAAGCTTGAACTGGATTCTCAGCTTGGAAAATACCCACAGACTCCCTCAAAGCATTGGCTATTCCTCGGGCTAAAGCGCCCATAGCCTCCTGACCTGCTGGCTCGACCACATTGGCCTGGCCAACTCCCTCCTGCTGTGCCGGAATATCATCCGGTAAAGGCATCTCCTGCCTACCACGTCTGTCTCGTCTACCATGTCCTCGTCCTGACATCCTAATAAAGGTAACGAAAAACGTTAGCACATTCATAAATGTGTCAAAAGTAAACACTCGCGTCATAAAACATGGACAACTGTAATTCACTCCACGTAAGCACATAAACACACAAGCACTTACGAATTTCATTTCCGGATAATGATAGTCCCGAGGCGTTACTAGAGTTCCGGTTAGAAACAGCATTGATCAAGTGCTTTTCCAACAAGACTCACAGAAACCCAAGGATCCAATCAACATCCTAGAAACTAAATCCCATACCCACATAGTCACATAAGCATGTTATCAATTAAGAACATAGCATATGACACTACATCTAAGTCTCTATCAAGCGAGACAAACCCATTGTGATCCTAATCACTTCCTATGTATCCAAAGTATTCGAACCCGGTACGCTCTGATACCAAGTTGTAACGCCCTCAAAATAATACATAAAACCCATCACTTTAGACATGCATTGATATAAAAGAAACCAACCATTTCTATTCATCAAAGCAATTCTTACAACTGTATTACATGTTAACAACAAAAGCAAATGCCCCAAGGGCTTACAGCTTTCTAAGTCAACACCTGGTTACACAAAAGAAGAGTACTAACTCTATACAAAATAGCCCTTGGCTTGATATACATGTAACACAAACAAAAAAAACAAAAAAAGAGTCTTCAACTCTCATCATCATCCAAGCTATGTCCTTGGAGGTGACATACTACCTGTACCTAAAAATAATGTCCCATAAAGGGTGAGCCAACGCCCAGTAGAGATATGCTAAACACAGTATGAGCAATGACTAAGACATTAGCAATTGATAAATGTTCAATTTCCATAAACCAATTCATAACCCCTTTCCATTTCATGACCACTATGTTCATGTTTCATTTCAATTTCCATTTCTTATCAGTTTGACAATTTACATCAACGGCTCAGAACCTGGCCAACCACAGATATGAGATAGTGATTCATATTAAACATTTCTCATTTTTACAATAGATAAACATACTAGTTGTATCAACATCTCAGCGGATAAGCATACAAGCTGTATCCACATTTCAACAAATATGCATATTAGCTATATCAACACTTCCAAAGATAAGCATATGAGCTATATCAACACTTCCAAAGATAAGCATATGAGCTATATCAACACTTCCAAAGATAAGCATATGAGCTATATCAACACTTCCAAAGATAAGCATATGAGCTATATCAACACTTCCAAAGATAAGCATATGAGCTATATCAACACTTCCAAAGATAAGCATATGAGCTATATCAACACTTCCAAAGATAAGCATATGAGCTATATCAACACATCCAAAGATAAGCATATGAGCTATATCAACACATTATCTGACAAGCATATGAGCTGTATCAGTGGAGTCCATCCCCTATCTCCTCCCAAACAACATCTGGTTTAGAGGTCCATCCCCTATCTTCCCCTAAACCGTGGAGTACATCCCCTATCTCCTCCCACACACACAACGTATATACACAAAGGTCATATACACAATCAATCAATACATAATGTTAATGTATTCTATCAACCGTCATACTCTATGACATATCCAATTGATTAGTTTTAGTTTGCCTAATCATCATGCATTGTCTACAACAATCAAAACTACCCTCCCCCGGTAGCCCAAGCAATTATTTCTAAACAAATAATAAAAGCTCCAACAGATAAAATATCAATGTTTTCAAAAGTGAGCGATTAATAAATCTAACTCCACTATTCAACCATATAATGAACCAATTCCATTATTTCCAACTCAATTCCATATAACCACCATTTTCTCAAATTAATTATACCAATTAATTTATACAACCAATTAGGGTTTTCTACCCCATTTCCCAATATTGACCCAATGGTCTAAATATCAACAACTAACATCAATAACACCATTTGAAAACCCAAAATACATATTATGAGCCCAAAATCACAAAACCCTCTTTAACACATTTTGAAACCCTAAGTCCCAAAGTCAACCATTTAAACAATAAGCTCAAAATCTAGGTTAAAACCCATAAGAGTGAGTAGGAATCCCTACCTCAAATTCGGAGCTCAAGGAAAGAAGGCGAAGAAACTCAGCGTGCTCCAAAACTCAATATACTCGGATCAAAATGTAGCCCTCGACGATCAACCCAACTCTTACAAAGGCCGAAGGGAAGGGAAGCACTCTAACTAGATCAAACCCTAGAGAGAAGGGAGTTTCTAGAGAGAGAAACTCTCAAAATGTCTTTTTAGAAAGTAAGAGAGAGAGAGAGAATATAAAAAGTGATTTTAAAATGCCCAGCTGCCAACTGATATATGACATTCCCGCTCGAGCAGAAAACACAACGCTCGAGTGTCAAGAACAAAAAACCAGGTCCGCTCGAGCGCAATAAGGCCCGCTCGAGCGCCAAGACACAAGAATAAAGTACATCCACTCGCGCGCGAAAAACCAGTCCGCTCGAGCGTATATTTCCCCCTCCCAGAACTTACACCAAAAAGTACTACCCGCTCGAGTGCCAGAGCACCCGCTCGAGCGTAAATAAACCCGCTCGAGCGTAAAAATCACACCTGCAGAAGTTTTGCAGGGACACGAAAAACTGGGAGCGTGCAATCTCCGCTCGAGCGCAAGAAGACTCGCTCGAGCGGACCTCCTAAAAACTGGGTAACAAAGAATTGAAACCAAAGCCCAACCAACCTGTAACAACTCTGCCCAATACATCCTAAAACTCAATCAAACGGAATTAAAGGATGACAACAAGGTATACCACCACCAACATCACGGGACCGAGTCTGGAATACAACAGAACAGTAAAGGGACAACCGGGATCGCTATACCATGGAAGTATCTTGATTTGTATATGACAATATGTCACGCCCCACTTTTTAATACACGGAGTCATTACCAAATTCTTTAACTTAATTCAATTTCAGAGATAACATGTGGAAATAAACTCATACATTCAATCCGTAGAAGTGATTAACAATACTCTCATTCGTATGCAAAGTAAATATTACATGAACTAACTTAATAAATTGCCCTTGGGCTTACATCATTTCCAACACTGTAACAAGTACAATCCACAATGTTTCCAGATACACTGAAACAATAACAAAACAACACTGCACTACTAGCTATATGCGTAGTAAGCCTAAGATACACTTCTCACCACAATCTACCAGTTTACCAGGCGCTAGCTGGAAGGGTATGGTACCTTATATTATCAGCGCGTCAGTTCTCCAGGCGCTAGCTGGAAGGGTATGATACCTTTGATTATAAGCGCTGAACACGTAAGTGTG